GCCTGGCCCAGAGGCTGGCAGTGCAGGGACAAGGAGTGCACGGCGTGTGACCCTCTCCCAAAGCCCCGGCCGCCCACCCACCCATCTCAGGCCCCAGCCCCACACCCACAACCCACCCACGTTCCTCATGCCGGAAGTAAGTTCCAGGCAACCCTCGTGCCATCCCATCATCTGGTGTGGCAGTGACGCCCGACCTGCACTCACCTCAGATGAACTGCCGGGTCAGCCTGTCCTGCCTCCCCTCTCACCCAGGCTTCCTAGACCTGCCAGCTTGTCCTCAGGGGCTCCCCGCGCCTACTTTCTGTCTCTTTCTCCAGAGATGCCAGAGGCCAGTAGAGTCAGCCACAAGAACCCAGCTGACCTGAAGCAGCTGCCTGTCACGTCTCTCTCTACCAACTGGCCACGTGAGTTTCTCCCTAATCCTCACCACAGAGAGGTTGCCTACAGGAGGGGCAGGAGGGAAGCCAGCCGGGAAGTCCCCAGGAGTATAGGTAAGAGGAGGGAAAGCAGAGTCCGGCCATTAGGAATGACTTGGCCCAGTGGCGGGGTTGAGGATGAGGGGGGGAAGGAGGGAGGCAGGAGTGACAGGATGGCATCAAGGTCTAGACCTTCTCAAAAGCCCTGGGGGGCCCCTGCCTGTCACAGCCCAAAGGACCCCGTGCAACTGGGACTGCATCTGCATCTTTGTGATCCTGTGCGGAATGTTCCTTGCGTTCACCTTGAGTGGAGCCCTGTTTCTCCACCGACAAAGACATGGATCAAGTAAGAGGCAGAAGACAGGTGTCCCGTCCTGCCCCCGCCACACCCCCACCTCGGCCCTGCTGCCAACGGAAACGGCGACATCTCCCGCTCCTCTCCACCAGCCCTGGCACCTCCTCTCTCGCCTCTTAGCAGGCGCCCCTGACAGCCGTCCCAGCTGACCCGCCCTTGCTCATCACCTCCCTTCACCCCTGCCCCCATGCTGGCCAAGTGGCATCCGATTCTCTCTGCAGACAGAGAGCGGACACCGGTGGAGCCTGCAGCGCCCTGTCCTTACAGCTGCCCCAGGGAGGAGGAGGGCAGCACCATCCCCATCCAGGAGGATTACCGGAAACCAGAGCCCGCTCCCTACCCGGGCCAGCACTGGGTGGGGAGCCGGGGGTGGTCAATCCTGCAGTAACGCCCTGGCATTCGGGCCCACCGACCACGCAGAGAGCCCCGCTCAGGACCACCCGCTCCCCCGGACCCTTTCCTGTGTACACACTTGCCGAGGCGCCGCCTCAAGACGGGCAGTAACAAGGACAAATAGGGACGACGTGGGAGGCGGGGAGCAGGCGTCCCGGGCGTGTCCTGGCCCAACCCGTTTCGCCCCTGAGCTGTGGGCGGGCTCAGGCTCTGTAGTAAAACACACTTCCAGCTGCGGAAGCCCCACCTACCACATCAGCAAAATAAAGTGACACTCTGCGACTGGACGGCCGTTCTCCCCTCTCTGGGACCCGGTCCCGCGCCCGGCCACGCCCAGCTCGCCGCCCAGGAGGCGAGGGAGGAGCCTTCTCCGTAGACCCTCCTTCCGGCCGGCAGGTGATCCCTCGGGGCTGCCCTAGCCCTGCGAGCGTGGAGGGGATGTGGAACCGGCAGAAGATAAATAAGGAAAGGTCCCCGTCCAGTCCCCTGTCGACCACTCCCCTCTCCCACAGTGACATCCCACTTCCTTGGGGCCGCCCTGGAGCACGTGCACCGAAGTCACTTTGGAGCCCCCGGGGTGGTGGGGGTGCAGAAAGGGGAAGGTGAGCGGCCTCTGGCAGCTGCCACGGGTGCCTCACAGAGGCAGAGTCGGCCACGGTGACTTCTCAAAGAGAAAGTGAAACAGAAGATAGCGAGGGAGAGGACAGAACAGGGCAGCCTGAGCTCTGCGTCGCGTCGGGGCTGGCAGAGCCCCTCTGCTCCAGCCGCGGCCTCACCAGCAAGCAGTGGGCTGGGGAGGAGGCAGGGGCAGCAGCAGCCTCCATGGGTGCACGGGGCTGGTGCCTGCTGCTCTGCTTGGCTCTGTCCGGAGCTACAGAAACCGGTGAGTCAGGGCCAACGGGCTGGGGAGGTTGTGGAAGCCCCAGGTAGCAGATAACCACCCTCCCTGGGATCCCAGAAGGCCCAGAGAGGCCTTCCAGTTACCATCTAACCCCACAGGGCTCAGCTCTGCCACTGGCAAAGTGAAGAACCAGTTATGGAGGGGAGAGGGGCTGTGAGCTTGGCAGGGGAAAAGCTAAAGAAAAGAGAGGCCCCTGGCTGGATATTGGGGGCTGGGGACTGTACTGGTAAGGCCCCTGGCCTGGGCGCTGACACCTTGAGAGCTGGAGGGGGTCCCTAGCTAGGAGAGCACCCGCAGAGGTGGGGAACAGGAAGCAGGGCAAACGCCATGGCTGCAGGGCAAGCTGAGGAGGTGGCCTTCAAGGCCCTGAGCCACAGCCAGGCCCAGTGTCGCTCCTCGGGCACCATGGGCTCACCCCCTTGTGCTTACTGAGACCCCTGTGCCTAAATTAGAGAGAGTCTTTCATTCAGTAGTTGGAAATACGTAAAAGCACCAACCTCTCTGAGCAAGGCAAATCCAGGACTTTAATAATTTGCACCAAGGACTTACCTAGAGTAGCAGGGGCTTCCCGGAAAGTTGATGTGGGGAATGACAGGAGACTGAGGGGACCTAAGACATCCAGGATCCCATAAGACTCCTTAGCATGGACGGAGGGGGCAGGAGCCCAGGTTGGAGGGCGCTCACCCCAGCCTCTCCCTGCAGAACCTGGGGCAGCAGGAAGGCCATGGCGGGCCGTGGACGTGATCGTGGACTGCTTCCTGGTGAAGGAAGGTGGGCACCGTGGAGCTCTGGCCGCCAGTGGGGACAGGGTGAAGGCCCTGCTGGTGCTGAGGCAGGTGCCAGTGCTGGATGACGGCTCCCTGGAAGGCTTCACCGACTTCCAAGGGGACACGATGGCCAAAGACGACCCACCTGTTATCTTCGAGGCCTCTGGTAATGCCCGCTGCCCCATCCTCATCCCCCTGGGATCCCTCTGCTGGCCCGCCCACCCCTGCCTCTCGCGGGCCTGGTGCACTCAGGCCGCCCCACCTGAGTGCCGCCCTCCCCAGTGGACCAGGTGCAGATTCCCCAGGCCGAGGCCCTGCTCCATGCGGACTGCAGTGGGAAGGAGGTGACCTGCGAGATCTCCCACTATTTTCTCCAGGCCGGACAAGAGGCCACTGCCGAGAGGACAGCTCGGTTCATAGCCAACGTGCAGGCAGCTGGAGGGGGACCTGGCATCTCCATAGTGCTGAAGACGCTCAGGGATGCTGAGAATAGAGCTGCCTGGCACCCCATGCTGAACCTGCCCTTGAGCCCCCGGAGGACTGTGCCGACCACAGGTGAGAAAATCAAAAGCAAGCGGCAGAAGGGAGGTTGGTATTTTATTTTTTAAGTGGTGAGAGATGGGGGGAGGAAGAGAAGGGAACAAGTCCACACCATGTGCCACACTGGTACCCCCTTGGCTTAGTCCTTACTGCCTAAAACCCTTGCACCCAGAAGAGGTGACTGCTGGGGGGCCCCCTCCTGAGAGAGGGTCCTAGCACCAAGCTAACCTGGGTGGTCTTCAAAACGATGCTCTACCACCTCACCCGCTGCCCCAGGGAAATACAATGCATGATGCTGCCCCGCGCACTATGTCGCCCCGGCAGTCTACAAGCCAGACACCAGCTGTCTCCCGGTGAAAAGCTAGCCTGGGGCCAGCAGATGGCGTGGTGGTTAAGGCACTGGGCTCCTGGCTGACTGCGGTTCAAGTACCGAAGTTGGTGACTCATTTTCCCTCTCTCTCGTCAAATTAAAAAATAGTAAATAAAATGAAATAAATAATTTATTTAAAAAAAAAAAGAAAGAAAAGCAAAGGAAGCCTGGTCTGGAGCTTCAGGATGCTATAATTACTAAAGCAAAGCATGGGGACACGGACTTGGCTCGTTCTTTCATTAAAAAGCCTGAGCCTCGGGAACCAGCAGTTAGCATAATGGCTATGTCGCTGGACTCCCACGTAGTCGACCGCGGTTCGCGGCCCAGACCCGGTGGCTTAAAACTCACGCCGGGCGCGTGTGCTTGCGTGCCCAGGATCCCGAGAGGAGAACGGAGGAGAAGGGATTGCGGCGTGACCATCCCCCCGGGGGGTGATTTCTCACTTTCTGTCTCTATGTCTCTCTCTGTCTGTCTGGCGAGCGCACGCGCCCTATAGTGAAAATCTCTCAAAAAAAAAAAAAAAAAAAAAGAGCCTGAGCCTCGCCCTCTCTGACTCAGCACATGCTAGACACAAGAATTGAGAACGTGGGTTTCTCCAGGGTCCACTCGAGTCCAAAGAGGATTAGGGACCACCTTCCTACTCCTGGGAAGCCCCAGAAAACTCTTAACTTTCCAGAGTCCAACCTGAATTAATCCTGACTTACCAGAAAGGGTTCTCACGTCTGCCTACTGGCTACACAGTCCTGGCCTGGTGAGGCATTCCCCCTCATTTGGAGTTTTCGAACTGCTAAGAAGGTGCAAGAACAATAACAAACCCGTCACCCAGACTCGCCACTGTTCCTACACCACCTCCCTCGCACATTCTCAGTGGGTGTTTTTCCCCGAACTAACTGCAGGTAACTTGCACATTCCCTAACACTTCACCCCCAACCGCTCCAATAGTTGCATATGTTAATTTATAGCAGAGGATAGGAATATTGGCCTGCATAATCACAGCCGTCACCCGCAGTGCAATGGCTGGGGTGCAGTCCACCGTGATGCCATGAGGAGGAGAGTGTGAACAGAATTGGGTTTTTTTAGAGGTTTTTTGTTTGTTTGTTTGTTTGTTATAGGGCACGTGTGCTCCCCAGACAGAGAGAGACAGAGAGACAGAAAGCGAGAAATTACCCCTCAGGAGGGATGGCCACGCCGCAATCCCTTCTCCTCCATTCTCCTCTCGGGATCTTGGGCATGCATGCACATGCGCCCAGGGTGAGTTTAAGCCACCGGGTCCGGGACTCGAACTGTGGTCAGCTACATGGGAGTTCAGCAACATAGCCATTACGCTAACTGCTGGTCCCAAAAGTAACTGTTAAAAAAATTTAAGGGACCTGCAGGTGGTGTGGTCATTGAGGCGCTGGACACTCCCACATGGCCTACCCTGGTTTGAGTCCCAGACCTCCTGGTGGCTTGCTTTCTCACTTTCTCTCTCTCTCTCTCTCTCTCTCTCTCTGGTCAAATTAAAATAAATGAATGAATAAACAAAATTAAATAAAATAATTATTTAAAAAAATTATTTTTAAGGTTTTTGTTTGTTTTTAAAGAGATTTTTGCTATGAGCTTGTGTGCTCACCAGAGAGACAGAAAGTGAGAAATCACTCCCGGGGCCATGGGGTGGCTATGCTGCAATCTCTCCTCCTTCATTCGCCTCTCAGGATTTTGAACATGCACGCACACACTCCAGACATCAATGTAAGCCACTGGGTCTGGGACTCGAACTCTGGTAGATCACATGGGAGTCCAGCGATATAACCTGCTGGTTTCCCGAAACAAGATATGTTTAATTGCCAGGACTCATGCACTCACCAAGGAGAGACAGAGAGGGAGAAAGCACCCTCACAGGGTGTGGTCATGCCACATTCTCTTCTCCATGTGTCCAAGCCGTTGGGATTTGGGACTCATGCACATACACCCAGTGTGGTTGCTGGGGCTGGGATCTGAAGCACAGTTGGCCATGTGAGACCTGGCCTCCTTAACCTCTAGGCTACAGGGCTGGCCCATTACTTCAGATATTTAAAAACTGATAAATATAATAGAACTCTCAAAAATAGTCAAATTCAAATTTCTCCAGTTGTCCCAATAGTGTTCTTTATAGATTTTTTTTTTTTTTTTTAGAGAGAGATTTTTGCTATAGGGTGCATACACTGGCCAGAGAGGCAGACAGGCAGAAAGCGAGAAATCACCTCCTGGGGGGATGGTCACGGTGCAATCCCTTCTCCTCCATTCTCCTCTCAGGATTTTGGACATGCATGCACACGCGCCCAGTGTGAGTTATGGATTTCTTTTTCAAATCCAGGATTCAAACAAGGGTCACGCGTTGCATGTAGTGGTCCTGTCCCTTGTCTTTCATCTAGAATGGCCTTTCCTATGTGAAGGGGCAAGGCCAGCCGCTACGTAAACTACCCACCATTTGGGTTTGTCTGTTTTTCTCGTGATCAGATTTAGCGTAAGCACGTCTGGCTGGTGCGCTGTGACTGTGTGCTTTTGACTTCTGTTGAGTCTCCACAGCAGCCCCGCCGCGGCAGGTGAG